CTAGAAAACACCACTGTAGCTGGTGGTAGCAGAAAGGTAGAAGATTCTAATCATGTATTGCTGAAAGGTGATCCACACCACCATCTTTTTTTTTCTATTATCAGCTTGATACAGTATAAATTCTTATCCTAATAGTGAAATGTTTCATTGAGGCTTGCCCAGTAATTGAGTAAAACCAAAACTTATTATAAGCCACAGTCATCCTAGGGTCCCCCCCTCCTATATAGCCTCCCTGGTTCTGTGGGTTGCAGTCTGATTGTTCTTTGCTTTATATCTAGAATCCACTTATGAGTGAGTGCATACCATGTTTGTTCTTCTGGATTGGGTTACCTCACTCAGGATGATTTTCTCTAGTTCCATTCATTTGCTTGCAAATTTCATGCTGTCATTGTTTTTCTCTGCTGAGTAGTACTCCATTATGTATATGTACCATATTTTCTTAATTCATTCTTCAGGTGATGGGCATTAAGGTTATTTCCAAGTTCTGGCTATTACAAATAGTGCTGCTATGAACATAGTTGAGCATGTATCTTTGTGGTATGATTGAGCATTCCTTGGATATATGCACAAGAGTGGTATGACTGGGTCTTGAGTTAGATCGATTCCCAATTTTCTGAGAAACTGCCATACTGATTTCCACAGTGGTTATACAAGTTTGTATTCCTACCAACAGTGGAGGAGTGTTCCCTTTGCTCTGCATCCTCTCCAACATTGACTGTCACTAATGTTTTTAATCTTAGCCATTCTGACAAGTGTAAGGTGGTATTTCAGAGTCATATTGATTTGCATTTCTCTGATGACCCAAGGATGTTGAGCATTTCTTTAAATGTCTTTCAGCTATTTGTGATTCTTCTCTTGAGAATTCTCTGTTTAGCTCTTCAGCCCATTTTTTAATTGGATTGTTCAGTATTTTGTTGTCTAGTTTCTTGAGTTCTTTATATACTTTGGAGATCAGTCCTCTGTCAGATGTGGGGTTGGTAAAGGTCTTTTCCCATTCTGTAGGCTGACTTTTTGTTGTATTGACCATGTCTTTTGCCCTACAAAAGCTCCTCAGTTTCAAGAGGTCCCATTTATTAATTGTTGCTCTCAGTGTCTGTGCTGCTGGTGTTATATTTAGGAAGTGATCTCCTGTGCCAATGCATTCAAGTGTACTTCTTACTTTCTCTTCTATTAAGTTTAGTGTAACTGGATTTATGTTGAGGTCATTGATCCACTTGGACTTGAGTTTTGTGCATGGTGACAGATATGGATCTATTTGTAATCTTTTACATATTGACATCCAGTTATGCCAGCACCATTTGTTGAAGAAAAGATACTTTCTTTTTTCCATTATATAGTTTTGGCTTCTTTGTCAAAAATCAGGTGTTCATATGTGTGTGGATTAATGTCAGGGTCTTCAATTCGATTCCATTGGTCTGTATGTCAGTTTTTATACCAGTACCAAGCTGTTTTTATTACTATGGCTCTATAGTAGAGCTTGATGTTAGGGATGGTGATGCTTCTAGAGGTTGCTTTATTATACAGGATTCTTTTAGCTATCCTGGGTCTTTTGTTTTTCTGTACGAAGTTGAGTATTTTTCTTTCCAGGTCTGTGAAGAATTGTCTTGGGATTTTGATGGGGATTGCATTGAATCTGTAGATTGCTTTTGGTAAGATTGCCATTTTTACTATGTTAATCCTACCTATCCATGAGCATGGGAGATCCTTCATTTTCTGATATCTTCTTCAATTTCTTTCTTTAGAGATATAAAGTTCTCATCAAAAAGGTCCTTCACTTGTTTAGTTAGTGTTATCCCAAGGTATTTTATATTATTTGTGGCTATTGTAAACGGCCACACTGCCATCTTTCTATCAGTTTCTAAATTATTTGTAGCATTTATAAGATAAATGTGAAAGAGGAGAGCAATGCTCAGAACTTCTAGAAACCAGACCTTCAGTTTTCCAATCTGTCTTCTCACTGCACACCAAAAGCTTGCCTGTGTGTGCACACTGAACAATGATACTACAAGCATCATATCCTCCCATGCCAGGGCTGCAGAGTTTTCCCCTCCCAAGGAAATCCATCCACAAAGAAGCTCAGAGGACAAGAACAACTGCCACAGTCACCATATGGACCAACAGAACCATAGTCTGGCTCATACTTCATCTAAATTCCAGAAGAAATGACAGAGCAACAGTCTTTCTCTGAACACTCTACGTCTACCATGACATAACTTGTGGTCTTCCTTACAACTCCCTACAGCAGAAGCAGAGGAGAATCGTGGAAAGAACCTGTAAGCTACCTGCCACTAGGATTCCTGATTGCTAAGCCTTCCCAGAGTCCCTCATTGGCTAGAGCTATCCAGCTGGACCTCTGAAATCTAACAGCTTACCTACTGGGTGATCAGAGATCAAATGACTCAGAAAGCACAGTGCTTCCAGCTCTGCATTTCCAGCTCAGCAGACAGGGTCTTAGTCAATAAATTTTGTATTTTAGTAGACATTCTTCCACTCTCCTAGAGCACATCTTATTCCTTGTCTAAAGCACAGGGTCCTTTTTTGTGCATATTCTATTATCCAGAGTGGTAGGATTTGCAGGACTGTGTATCTAGCACTGGGCAGCAGAGGCAGGATTAGGTGTTCAAAGCAATTCTCAATAAAATTACATGATACAGTGATATTACAAGCTCATAGTCCCCTGTGCCAGGATGGTAGAGCCTTTCCCTCCCCAGGGAATCCACATTCAACAAAGCTCAGAGAACAAGAGCTACTACCCAGGTTACCACAGGAGCAACAGTACCTGAGTCTAGCTCATGGTCCATCCCAGTCCAGTCCAGGCAGCTCTGACAGCTCAGCCAACCTGCTTTTCTTGGTCTGGGGAGAGTGGCCCTCACACTCACCATGTCATGGCTTGTGGACTTCCTTACCACTCCCTACAGCGGAACAAGAGGAGAATCCTGGAAAGAACCTCTAAGCTACCTCCTACTGGTGCTCCTGATTGCTAAGCCTTTCCAGAGTCCCCCATTAGCCAGAACTACCCGGTTGCATTTCAGAACATTAGAAGTCATGCTACTGGGTGAGCAGAGATCAAATGACTCAGAAAGCAAAATCCTTCTCAGGTTTGTCCTTCCACACTATGGTCAAACAGTATCCTAATCTGGGATTTGGTAGTTTAGTAAAATCCACCAATATCCCAAGTACTTCCTATTCCTCTTCCAAGGCACAGGGTCCTATGTGCACACATTCCACTACACACTCAATGTCCAGTGCAGCCAACCCTTTTTATTTCATAGCTGGGAGGTCCTGCTGTCAAACACATGTCACATTCAAACAGTAACAGTTGTTAAACAAAAAGAGGTCATGGATGAGCACACAATGAAGGGACTATGGGGGGCTTGGAGGCAGGAAAGAGGCAGTGGAAATAATGTAATTATAATCCCAAATAATTTTGTGAAAAAGTTGAAACAGGCTTTATGGCCATGTTCTTTAGAGGCTCAAAATTTGTATTAGAGTACACCAAGTACTTCTCACATCATTTCTCTTGGGGTATACATCTTAAACCTGGAAAACACAGTCATATATTAGACATGGTCACATCAATTTATCCAGTTCTGCTCTTTAGGTTGAACTGGTGTAACTATAGTAATTCAGTTTCACAAACATTCAGTTCTTTATCCCCATTCTTGATTGATTGGTCTGGGGACCCAAGAACTGGCCAGTCATGACATTTATTGATCATCTAAAATTGATTATCTCTCTAATATCATCTACTGTCACAGCAGGAATGCTTTCAACCTCCTTCTTGCCCATCCCTCTCTGGGCTGTGACTACACCTGTTTTATAGTTAGTCAGTAAACACAATTCTTACAAAGGTCCCACTTCATCTGTAGATTCACAATAAAATCTTGAGAAGTTGGAGGATACTCACTAATCTAGTTTCCTTCCCACAGACCAGACAAGGCCCCATTCTGGAAGGAGTTTTAAAACTGTCTTCCCAGCACTGGGCAGCAGAGGCAGAATTGGTTGTTCAAAGTAATTCTCAATTTTATGGTGTTAGACAAGCCTGTGCTACAAGAGACATTGATCTAAGCCAGTGATTCTCAACCTTCCTAATGCTGTGTGACTCCTTAATACAGTTCCTCATGATGCAGAGATTCCCACAACTATAAAATTTTTTCACTGCCTCTTCATAACTATATTTTTGCTACTGGTATGAATTATCACATAAATAGCTGTGGTTTCCAATCATCTTAGGCCAGTATTGTGATATAGTCATTTGCTCCCCCACATGGAGGCATGATCAAGATTGATCATGTTCTAAACTGATATAAATAAATAAATAAACAGTACTTAAGAAAAAAATGGAATAAAATTCTTAAATTCAGAAACATTGAAAAATAGAAAAGCCGAGCAGTTGTGGTGCACCCCTTTAATCCCAGCACTCGGGAGGCAGAGGCAGGTGGACCTCTGTGAGTTTGAGGCCAGCCTGGTCTACAGAGTGAGTTCCAGGAAAGGTGAAGAGCTACACAGGGAAACCCTGTCTTGAAAAACCAAAAAAAAAAAAAAAAAAAAAAAAAGAAAGAAAAGCAGCAATATATTTAAAGAAAATGAATTTTTAAAACAATATCAATAATTAATGTTTTAAAATGATAAAAATATTTGGAAGAAAATTTAGCTATACTGACTTTAAAATGGAGTAGGCACCTCCCTAGTAAAGTGAATGCCATTAATAAGAGATTGTATGACTTTGTCCCATGTAAAATGTTAGTCACTGAGTATTGTACAATGACACATAGAGTTACAGCTGGTTACAGCCATTGGCTTATGTCTCAAACATCTGAGTTGACTTAACTGTGTCAACCAGGATTGCACATAATGCATAGGAGAGTTTGTTAACTGAAAACTGAATATTTAGAAGTTCAAGCTATTCTCCCTAAACTATACATCCACCAATTCTGTCTGTTTTAATTCACATGGAAGGAATTAATACATACAGGAAAATTACAGAGAAAGTCACTCACCCTGCCCCCATCAGTCCTTTGTAATGAATAACCCTGAAGCTCACTGCCTTCAAGTTCAGTCATGATCTAGCTATCTAGTCTGTTTCCCCCTGCAGTGTACACAGTGTACTGTTCCTTCTCTTCTGGTCTGAAGAGAGAAGCCGTGCTCCACACACAAATCCTTTCCCTGTTCTGCAATGCACAGTCTACTATGTGACTCAAATGGGTAATTTTAGAACCCTGTGGTGCTGCTGAAGTGTCATCCAGGAATTTAAGGTGGTTAGTCAGGAGGATAACAATGGCAATGCCATGTGGGGATACAGACAGGCTTCAAGTCCATCTCAATCAACATAGAAGACTTTGACTCAAAAACACTTTTCATGCAGTGGTGGTGCACACCTTTAATCCCAGCACCCCTGAGGCAGAGCCAGGCAGGTCTCTGTGAGTTTGAGGCCAGCCTGGGCTACAGAGTGAGTTCCAGGACAGGCATTGGAACTACACTGAGAAACCTTGTCTCGAAAAACAAAACAAAAAAAAACAAAAACACTTTTAAAAAAGACTCCAGATGCCCCTATTCTAGAATTAGCATACCTTTATGGCACACCATGACTTAATGCTGGCTCTTACCTTGTAATGATTCCTTGAGTAAATTTAGGGGCTGTTTTTTTTTTTTAATGGAAAGATGGCTTTTCTGCTGGTTATAAATCAGGGTTGTCTCCTTTGTTATGGGAATGTAGCTGGTTAATCCTGTGAAACAAATATTTACATCTTATCATACTAATCTCTAACTGGCAAGGTTGGCATATACTTATCTTTGGGATATTTGTGATACAGCCCTCTCTTACCTAAATTCTACTTTGTAAATTAAAGTCTTCTAAGAACTGGTAAGCGCTTATACCATCAATGGTATTACCGTCAATTCTACTTTTCTCCATCACAGTATAGCAGAGGAGTGCTACTTTACACAGGAAATACTGTTTACAAGCTCCACAGAATTAACTCCAGATGGATCCTAAGCCTAAATATGAAAAGTTCAAAGTGCAGTACTTCTGGGAGATATGTTAGATACAGGACCAGGTCTCTCTGAGTTTGGCAAATTTGTGCTACATAGCGAAATTATAAGCACTAAGGGTGCCGGCATTTCACAGTGATGTTAACAAGGTTATTTCAAAGCTGAGACCCACTCCCAGTGATCAGCACACATACAGCCTAGAGAGTGAAGTGACACAGGCTACCAGCCAGCCCAGGAATTGCAAAGACAGTGCAGGACCACACAGAAACACACTGGAGAGGGCAGGACGAGCAGAACCATGCTGGACCATGAAGTACCATGCAAGAACATGTGGAACTCTGCATCCAGACACTGGCTCCCACCCAGCCAGGGGAGGACCCACCAAACTGGCTCCTATGACTGAAACGACCACTCCTCCCAGTCTGGGGACAGCAGCCCTTCACTCACCATGTTGTGGTTTTCCAGATTGCCCAAACTCCCTGCTCAGCTTCCTGCAGCAGCACACACAGCACAGCACACAAAACCACACAAGCCTGAAGCTTGTGACAGGAAGGACCCTGCACCACTTCTGACTGGCTGGTTGCCTGGAGGGCCTGATTGGCTAGTGAGGCCTGAGTGACAAGAGCACCTCCTATAGGGTTACACTGTGCTTAAAGACACAGCACAATGGTTCCTGACCTTGCCTTCCACCTCAGACCAAGACCTTTTCAGAACTGGGAGAGATTTACATTTCAATAGCACCCTGCTATCTTCCTGTCCTCCATAGGCATTTCTCCTTCCTCTTCCAGGACACAATGTGGCTAGTTTAGCTTATATAGCCCACTCTGCTATGAGGAGTGGAGTGATTCCCTGTCAGACAGGTAGAAAGATGCCCAGAATGTTAACAACTGAAGAGATATTTAAGCACACAAAAGGAGATGTTTGTTAGGTGGCTTCACACTGAGGCCAGGGGAATTGAATGGACTTTTTCCCTGCTTTTCATTGGGATTTCAGACAGCCAGGAAAGAAAAGCAGGAACCAGACACAAACAAAATAACAGATCTTTTTCCTATCAGAAAGCTGGATGATGGCTCCATTGCTTCAGGAGTTTAATTTCTGAAATCCAGAGCAAACTGTAGGCAAATTAAATAATAATACTGTTGTGCCCAGATAGCAACCCCCAGAGAGACCACCAAAGATGAGCATGCCCGAATGCAAAAGCAAGGTTTAATTCTGGATATCCAAAAGCAATAGAAGCCTAGGCAGGGACTTCGTCCAACAGATCCAACAAAGTGGAGGCTGGAGGAAGTGCCCGCCTCTCTGCAAGCTCAGGTTTTAAAGGCAAAAACCACAAGGTTACATCATTTAGGGGTGCTAGTACGGGTACAATTCTGATTGTCTCACTTCTAGGGACATTCTAGAAATCATGGCTTAATCTTATTTCTAAGGGAGTGGTTGCCCGCCACCATTTCTTATTGACTGCCCTCAGGTGGGGACATTTCTATGGTAGGTTACCCTGGAAACCAGGGTTGGAACATTCTTTGATCAAACAGTTACCTAGGTAACCAGGGAGAGGATATCCCATAGTCCAGCAGTCATTACCTCATGACTACCTTGTGACTCTGTACTTTTATACTTCCTGGTTTCTGGAATCTGGACTGACTGGTTTCAGTAACTCATGGCCTACTCCAGTAACTCATGGCCTGTACCTAAAAGGAGAAATCTTAGGCCTTAGTTTTAAGGTGAAAGCATTTTGGTCTTATTTCTTTCTTTCTTTTTTTTTTTTTTTTTTTTTTTTGGTTTTTCAAGACAGGGTTTCTCTGTGTAGCTTTGCACCTTTCCTGGATCTCGCTCTGTAGACCAGGCTGGCCTCAAACTCACAAAGATCCACCTGCCTCTGCCTCCCAAGTGCTGGGATTAAAGGCGTGCACCCACCACCACCGCCCAGGTTGGTCTTATTTCTAAGATGGCTCATTTTGGTCTCACAAATACAGAGTAGTCTTCATGGAAAATTAGAAACTTGGAGAATAATGGAGTTAGGAAAAATGTGGTTAGTGAGCACCATTGTTAACCAGCACATCTTACTCAGTTGACAGGTGAAAAAAGATGCAACTGTGTTATTCAAGGTTCGCTACATGATCAGGACTGGTAGAATGAATCTCTCCATGTGTGTAGAAAGTTGATTTAACAGAATGTGTTACAAGCTGTGGTCCAGGTAGTCTAACAATGGCTGTCTACCAATGGAAATTTGAAGAATCCAGTAGTTGTTTAGTCCATGAGGCTGGATGTCTCACCTGGTCTTCAGTATATCACCAAAATTCTAAGGAAATGGGCTCTAATGCTAGTAAAGGAATAAACTTGGTAGCCAGAGCTAGCAGAAGCAGACAAAGAGAGAGCTTCCTCCTTCAATATCCTTTATGTATGTAGGCTGCCACCAAGAGTTACTATCCAGATTAAAGGTGGATCTTATTCTTTGTTTATTGGTTTTTTGGTATTTTCAAGACAGGGTTTATCTGTGTATCCTTGGAATTCATTCTGTAGATGAACCTGGCCTCAAACTCAGAAATCCAACTGGCAAAGCTTCCTGAGTGCTGAGGTTAAAGGTGTGCACTGCCACCAAACAGCTAAAGGTAGATCTCATCACCTCAAATGATCCAGATTAGAGATGGGTCTTTAGCCGGGTGGTGGCATAGTACGCCTTTAATCCCAGTACTCTGCAGGCATATCCAGGTGGATCTCTGTGAGTCTGAGGCCAGCTGGGTCTACAGAATGAGATCCAGGACATGCACCAAAGCTACACAGAGGAACCCTGTCTCAAAGAAAAACAAAACAAAACAACAACAACAAAAAAAACAAAAACAAAAAACAAAAAAACAAAGATGGGACTTTAACTTCAAAACCTTTGAGAAAAATCCCTCACAGGTGTACCCAAATCTTGAAGTTTTAATTAATTACAGAGGTAGTCAGTTTGACTATTAAGGTTATCCATCAGGAGCAGCTTAGTACGATCAGTATTAGTGGGTTCTGTCTCAGGGAGCAGTTGTTCCCAATTGGTGCAGGGTAGGCTTATAGCTCCAGTGGTTGTTGGGTTCACAGGGGCTGGGGTTTTTGTTTTTTTTTTCCAGACATAGGTCTTTATTCGCCGGCTAGTGACTACACTGGGATCCCAAGCACCCAGTATAGACCTGAGCCTTTCTCAGGTGAGCTTTAAGCACAAAAACAATGTTCTGGGTTGACATACTTCAGTTAACAAGAACAGTTAGCCAGAAGCGGAACTGCGGAAGCCAAAAAGCAAGGTTAGTCCAGTTGGAGACTTTCCTAGAATGATAGACTCTGATGGATTATTTCTTTGTTCTTATTTTTGGCAGTTGGTATTGTCTGCTTGCTGAGTTTTACAGTCTGAATGACACTTCCATCATAGAGTCAGTTGTGTTAAGGTCTGGGGGCCTACTAAGCATGGGGTCGGTTACAAAGTTTCCAGGCAGCTATCTGGCTAGAAGGCAAGTGAGGAGGCTGGGTGCCCTGTCTTGTGGTTGTATTTTCATAGCAAGCCTACATTCGTTCCCGTTATATGCTTACTTCAGCAGAAATTTTGGCCTATGCTACCCAGCCTTGGTGAACCGGTAGTGTTCAGTGAAGAGTGTATTAGTTACATAGCCAAGTAGAAATTCACCAGGGTGGAGGGTACGTTCAGATGCGGCAGGATTAGGTTATGGGGAAACATCTTGGATTTCAAGGTAAGTTAGGTAACAGGAAGCTGCTGCTGTTTTTTGAGCAATGGCAGAGCAATATGATGAAATGGGAATTTGACTTTACATTGATGTCTTGGTGTCTTCTTGGTCCAAGAGCGCCCCCTGGCGTCTTTCATTTGTACTGTTCCCCTCGTTTTACCCAGTAGGTGGGAGGATTCAGGCCTGGAATTGCAGGATATCAGAGTTACAGAAACACAGGCTTCCTGTGTCTGAGGGGCTGGTTTTTTTTTTTTTTTTTTTTTTTTTGGTGAGGTAGCAGAAAAAGGTAGCTGTCTGGTCCCTGGGCTCTGATGGCTGGGGCCTAAGGGCTAGAGACCTGGTCTGCCAGTCCGGAGATGTGG